AGTTTCTCGTTTTTTTTAGTTTCTTCAACTATTTTTACTTAACGATGTTATTGTCCTGTTTAAGCGAAAGTTCTTATATTGCAGTCTAGTTTTTGTTTAAAAAACATGCTTAAAGCAAAATTTCGTCTACTTTCTGGATAATGTATTAGTTTATAGGATTTTATTACAGTACATTGAAAAAATTAAAATATGATACTAATTTATCTTTAGAAAAATATATCAACCAATAGACTTAAGTGAATAACATTTTTATATTGTTTTTTTTTTTGCTTCCGAATTAAAATAAAAATCTGATACAATTTTATTTTTAAATCTTACATTGATTATCAAATGCATTCTGCCTTTTTCTTAACTATCTTATAAATATATTTTCTACTTTTCCCACAAAAAAATCCTATTTTTCGTACGATTCTAGTTTTAAAAAAAGTCATGAAAGTCGAAGCATATTATTTTTTTAAAAAAGTTAACCAGTAGATTTAAAAAAAAGGTTCATACGAGTAAGGGTATATAAGACGTTACTTTTTAAATTCCTATTAAAAATTTGTGGTAATTTACAACATAGAATTTTCATGGTGGATGTAACAGATTGTGTTTCCTTTTGCTCTCTTAAAAAGTAAATTTTGAAACAGAGAACAAAACATTTAACTTTCAAGGCACAAAAATCAACCATAGACAACAAGTTTTTACTTAAAAATATCAGAAAAACATTAAATGAACTACTATTTTGAAACAAAGTAGAAAAAAACACACACTTATTCTTTTAATATTCATTTCTATAATATAGACTTTATTTTCAATGCCTACTATTAGCTCACACTCTCTATATATTTATTTATTTCTCTTGGTGGAGTTTTCAATCGTTAATAAAATACATTTTAAAGTGCATAATTGAGCTGAAATTTTATATACATGATTATTTTGGATGACAATACAATAATTTAATCATAATTAATAAAAATTAATTGATTAAAACTAAATATCCAAAGAGTTACAAATACAGCTAAGTTGGCATAATTTTTGGCGAATTAGCGACTCTTTTGGCGACTTGTGTCAAAACTTGAAAAGATTTTTTCTCTCCCGCTTTAAAGCATTCAGTTGAACTGAAATTTTATATACACGATTGTTTTGGATGACAATACGATACTTTGATGATAATGAATAAAAATGATTTACCACTTAATGTTGTGATTCTGTCATATGTATATACATATTTATATTAGTTGTAACTAATTCATAAAAAGTAGCTAAAATAAAAATTTTCTTTGTTGATCTAAATAGAAATTCACTTAAAAAATTTGTTTTTACATTGCGCTTGTTAAAATAAACCTTTTAAAATGCTTTTAATTTTACGTATAAATTAACAGTGAGAGAAAAAAGATGTGTTTGGTCTCTTGTGTACGGCTCTGTTTACATATTTTGAACTTAAATATATAATATCACTAGCCATTACCTGTCCGCTTCGCTGGGTATTGCAAGGTATATATATATATATAATCATTGAAATATTATAATTTTTATCCTAAGGAGACTTGCCAGTCGGGATTGGCCAACCTGGTTGTGCCAGGCTTCAGCGAAGGGGGAGGGGGATTGTCAGGTTTGAAAAAAGTTTAGCTTCAAAATTAAGTAATTAAGTAAGTAATAAATGAAAATAGAGCGAACTCTTTACCATCGCGTAAGCATTTGTGGGTAAATAATCATATTTAAAGGTGGAGCGAGCGCTGACGAAGGAGAACGTATACTCGAAAAGGCTTAGCTAGTGATTCCTCGCCGAAGTGTTGATTATTGTTCTACTCGGTTGCGCGCCGAAGGGCCGCCATCTTGGATTTTATGTGATTGAAGCAAAATAAAAAAGTATCTTAGAGATGATGCCCTCCTCATTTAACCAGCAGTCCTGGGGTCTGATATATATATATATATATATATATATCAGAACAAAGAGAACAAATATATATATATATATATATATATATATATATATTTGTTCTTAAAATTTATATTCGAATCATTAAGATATTATATGCCAGCAGTAGCGCACACAGAAATTTTTCAGGGGGGGGGAGGTTCGGTGTCGAAAGTTCCCCATTCTTGTATCATACTCCTTTTGATTTTGTTGATTTTCGGAAACAAAAAACAGTAAAAAACTAATTATTGAATAAATAATTAGCATTAATTAATAAAATTAATCATTAATAATAAATGCTTAGTTAAATTTTACGTATTATATACTTAGAATTATAGTCAATCGGAAAAAAATCAAATTTGGAGGGGGCGTGCTGACCCCCCCAGACCCCCTTGTGTGCGCCACTATATACCAAAGTATTCATACACTTGCCGTCGCAAAGCAGCCCAACATATGAATGAAAAAAATTGAAATTATATGAATTTTATAATACTAAATTTTATTTCAAAATATCAATGGCGAATATAGAAAATAAAATACCAACGTTTTCAAACAAAATTTATAAAATATAAAACATCCGAGTACAACTTCGGACTTAGGACCGATAAGTGGGGTTAAACTAGTTTGATGGCGCCAACCTTCCTCCTGTTGCAACTTGGTAAGTTAATCGGAAAATGTCCAATTCTCAAAATTTAAAAATTTAAACCAATCAGGTAACCCTCTTTGGGGTCGATTTTCACAAAAACTCTTGGTTAGAGGAAATTTTTTCCATGAAAGGAATATGCTTACCAAATTTCAAGACTGTACATCGAAGAGTTTAAAAAACGGAAATAATTATCTATAACGCACATTAATCCCCCCACAACATCGTTTGGGTGTTGATTTTCGCAAAACAAATTTTGCTGCGGATTTTTACTTCATAAAAGGAATCTGCATACCAAAATTTCAAGACTGTGCGTCAATAAGTTTAAAAATGAAAATGATTATCTTTAACACCCCTTAAGTCCCCGCAATGCTACTTGGGGTTCGATTCTCGTAAAATTCATTATGTAGGGAATCTCTACCTTATTCCGAACCGTGATTTTGCAAAAGCGTATAAATGGATAATATTTATGATTAGAAAATGTATATAAAATTGTTTTAAGAATAGTATTACAATAAAAAATTATTTAAATGTTTGAAATATATAACTTAGAAGTGGGTTTATATCTATGTTTTACGACAACATAGCAGAGAAACTTGAAGAAAAAAACGCCGATAATTGTTTCAATTGGTTGTAGTTCTGAAAATAATGTGAATTTTTCAAAAAGCATAGTTCAGCCTCTGCAAAGAGAAGTCTGAGCTATATGCAGACAAAATATTATTATAATAGAAGCATTTTTCACAAAAGGAGAACATTTTTTTAAAAAAAAGGTTATTCTGAGTTAATTTTTTGTTGAAATAGTGTATTTAAATAATTTTTTTGTCAAAATGTCCTTAAAACAATTTTATACATGTATTCTAATCTAAGTGACACTAGATATCATGAAAATTATCCATTTATGCGCTTTTTTAAAATCACGGTTCTGAACGTAGTCGGATACCTCAAGTAAATATTGTTTAAAGTTAATCAGAGACAGGTATCTAAGACAGGTAGGATCAAGGAAGGAGTCTAAAAACTGAAAATATCGATGTATTGAGAGAGAAATATATATTTTCAGTTCATAAATTTATCTGTATATATTCTTTATTCACAAAATTTTTTATTTCTTAATATACAAAAAAAAAGTTTTTCATGATACTTTAATACATTTTTATTACGTACTATCGCAACTATTCCAACGTTCAAGATAACTCTCCAAGTTGGCAATCTCGATTTTGTTTGTGTCGATTTGTTGCAATAGTATATAATTGTAAACTCTCGCTGCAAAATATCGCAACGATTGCCTGGATTAGGATCGTTGCCTGAGAATGAAAGGCGTTATTTCATACGAAGACTTTAACAATCAACGTAACTAAATACTTAACTTTCCAGAAAGCTACAAGACAAACAGATTTATCAAAATCTGTGGACTTAATCAATGAAATATTGGACGATTCAGCTTCAGTGATAAATTTAAATGAAGAGAAGCGCTAAGGACGAACTTTGCGAAAAAAAAAGAACAAACAATAGTTAACATGTAAATTACAATTTTACAATTTGAGCAATGAGTATGAAAGTTGTATAAATTGTACAATGGGGTTTAATCTACCGATAACAGGACATGTGGTACACCCAGGTTACTTTTTAAGAAACGTTGATACCACTTTTGCAAGTCATCCAACTAAAATATAACCATACCACGTGCACATCCAATGTTTTATCATTACTATTTGACAGAACATATCCCACAATGACAAATGCATTACACGAGATTCTCTCTTACTTTTAGAATGATTTATTTCTGTCACGTAAGAACACATTCCATTTCACATTCTAACAGGGAGCTGATGCGGGATGAAACATTCCACTCTTCCCCTTTTGAGGGGTTGGGTATTCCTGCAGCAAACTCGCTCATACCTTCGATGTACAGTATCCAAGTTATTTAATATGCAATCATTTGGAAGACAGACTAACAGGCATGCGTTTTTTATTATAAATCTACGAACTCTAATATGTGTAACTATTCGTTATTTCTCAGATTCCACGTTGTTTCTCTATTTGAAAACTTACGATAAAACATGAAGTTTATACTAGATATTACTTACTAAATGTTAATCAACAGAATTTACAAATAATGAACAGGATACATCGCTTCTGCATAATTATTTAAATAGCTAATCTACAGGTATATAATTACTTAAACAGGTATCCTAACATTAATTTCATTCTTAGGTAAACTAAGAAAAATTTTACTGTAGTTACTTTTATTAAATAATTACAATTAATATAAATATGTATATACATATAACAGAATCATAATATTAAGTGGCAAAATAGAAAGAGATTTTCGTTGCAATATTTTAAATTTCCTTTCTATATCTGGTGTTGTACTATTATTTTTGTTTGTTACTATTTATTCATTAAATATAATTATTCCAATAAAATAATATAGTAAAAACACACACTCAGAAATTAAACCATCCCAGGTGAGATTCGAACTCACGACCTTTGGATTGAAAGACCAACGCGCTATCCATTGCGCTTCACAACGAGCGATTTTCATTTTTATATGTGGTGTTTGACTATTAGTTTGCTTGTTACTTTTAATTCTTGAATTGAACTTATTTAATGAATTAATATTTAAAAAACTGTATTAACATCAAGGGTCATAATGTATTTGAACTTGAGGGGGGATCAGTGGCGCACACAGGATTTTTCAAGGGGGGGGGTCAAAAGTTCACCATTCTTGTATCATGCTCCTTTTGATTTTGTCGATTTTCGAGAACAAAACACAGTAAAAAACTAATTTTTGAATAAATAATTAGCATTAATTAATAAAATTAATCATTAATAACAAGTAATTAACTAAATTTTACGTACTATATGCTTAGAATTATAATCAATCGGAAAAAAATCAAGGGTTTTGGGGGTCCGGACCCCCAGGACCCCCCGTTGTGTGCGCCACTGGGGGATAAATAAAATGTATTTTATTAATGATTGAAAATTTGAACAAGATATATATATAAAGAAATATTTCTCGGAAGAGTGAAAACTAATAGTTGGAATTGAAAAAAAGAGTCTAAATTCTCTAAAAACAGTCTAAAAACAAGGCTGATGCTCATTAAATGTATTGATCTATTATTTCCTGAGAATCATTTAAATTCTTAGAACTTTTAAGCTCACACAACACCTCATATTTATAAATAAAAACAGGTCTTTTTACTGTTAATTTTAAATTTTTATTTACCATTTCATGTCTAACGAGCAATAGTAATTATTTTCATTTTTATTTGTATTTATCCTCTCTTTATTTTATTTATTACTATAAATCTAGCAAGGAGAGGGCATGACTAAGGAAATTCATTTAGGATCGAGACTTGGTGTAATAGTAGTACTCCTTTAGGGTGTTCAACCCTCAATGTATTTCCGTCGAAAGGCCAATCAATTCGGAGAAAAAGCATGCTTAGCTTTTATACAATTATATTTCAATTTCCTCCAACGTTTTCGTAGCTTAGTTGATATATCGCCTGCATACTATGCGTGAGGTCTGGGTTCGATTCATCGGTCAATTTTTTATTTTTTTCATTTCTCTGTCATTTAATCATTTTTAAAATTAAATAAACTTATTTATGACCAGTTTATTAAATATTAAATGATATTTTATGTAATTATTTTGTATTTTATACAGTAAAAACAATTACCGTGAAATCCGGCGTGTAACGTGCCCTTTTAACACAAAAAATAAGATCGAAATTTTTCGGGCACGCGTTATACGCCGCATATAAAAATGAGAGTTTGAAAAATGAAAGAAGATGAGCATATAGAAAAAAAATTAGACTTCTTCATACATCGAAACACTGTTTATTTAAAATAAATGATATTTCTTATGAAGTAAAAGTGTTGTATTTCTAGAAGTACAGCATGACCCCCGCTTAACACTGTTTCGTTTAGCACTGTTTCTCGGTTTAACGCTCTTTTATTTGAATTGTGAGGTTCCCCAAAATTGCACACAGCGTTACGTTTTCCGATATCTGAAGCAGTTTATCTGTATTTCTTCTTTCTTGCGGTGTTATACGAACGTATTTTTATCGTTTCAAATATTTGTTGACATTATTGTAAGAATAAATTTATATAATATAACGATTTCTATGGTGACAAATATTATGATTTTTAGTTTTTATCATGACTGATAATAAAAAAACACGAAAATAACGCAACAAGAAAAAGCATTTCACTAGAAACTAAAATGCAAGTGATTAGAAGATCAGATACTGGTGAACGCCAATCTCAAATTGGTGCTGCATTGAAAATTTGGCAATTTCAACAATAAGGACAATTCTTAAGAATAAAGAAAAAAATTGCCATTGTGGGAATTGCAACTACGACAAGCTCTGCAACTAGAATTAAACGTTCTAGAATTAATACAATAGAGGAAATGGAAAAACGACTTTCTATATGAATTGACGACGAAATTGAACGTATTTAACCTAATCTAACTTCTTGATAAAAAGGCAAAAAATTGGAAATACTGAAGAGACTGAATGATTTGAAATGTAAACATACTGAGTTAGAATTGTATTTATTTTTATATTCGTTAATCATGATTCTATATTTCTAAGAAATAAATTTTTGTTTCATTGTTATAAAAAACATAATTAAAAAATTTAATGGTAAAATACCTGACCAATTTTCTACCCATCTTCCCCTAATCCCATTATTTACATGATAAGATAACCTCGTTTAGTGGTGTTTCATATTACACTCAACTTTGATGGAACGTATACCCCCCGCGTTAAGCGGGGTCTTACTGTATACTATTTTTCAAAAGCCTGCAACAATACCTCTAATAAATGACTTCAAAATATACGAGCATTGCATATGTAAATTCCAAGTTTCTTCGAGCAAATGGGGGTGAGCATTATGCGCCGGATTTTACGGTAAATAAATTTATTATTTAAATTATTTATTTTTAAAATTATTTTTAATAAAAATATTTAAAATAAGTATTAATTAAAATTATTAATAATTATGGATTAAAATTATATTTAAAATAATTATTATTTAAAATAATTTTAAAAAAAATATTTAATTAAAATAATTAATAATTAAAATGAATTAATAAAAATTATTAATAAGAGTTATGATAAATTATTAACTTATTTTAAAAATTATTAATTTATTATTGAAAATATTAATTTATTTTTACATTTATTAATTTATTGTTGAAATGATTATTAATTCATTATTGAGAGAGAAATAATTATTAATTTATTATTAAATTATTAATAATTTATTATTAAAGTTATTAATTTATTATTAAAATTATTAATTTATTATTAAAATTATTAATTCATTATTAAAATTATTATTTATTATTGAAATAATTATTAATTTTTTTAAAAAAATTAAAAATTAATTTAAAATTATTTAAATTTATTTAAAAATGATTCATTAAATAATTTTTAAAATAGTCAAAATAATTAAATTAATAATATATAAAAAGACATATTTTTATTATATTAATTATAAAATAATCAATTTAATAATAATATACTTTATAAACTATTTTATATTATATGTAATATTTTATTTATAGTATATTTTATTTCCCATTATAAAACTATTTGTAACTAATGTTTATGTATATAATATCATTTAATATTTATTTTATATATTTTATATTACAAATGTTATTTATTAATATAAAAATATATTTATATAAAATTTAATATAAATATTTATATAGTTACAGTATTTTTTTTACTTTATAAAATACAAAATAATTACATAAAATATCATTTAATATTTAATAAGCCTTCCGTGAATAGTTTATTTAATTTTAAAAATAATTAAATGAAACGAAAAAAATTCTCCGATGAATCGAACCCAGACCTCGAGCATAGCATGCAGACGATATATCAACCAAGCTACGAAATCGTTGAAGGAAATTGAAATTTAATTGTATAAAAGCTTAAGCATGAATTTCGAAGACTTTTTTCTCCGAATTGACTGGTCATTTGGCGGAATTACATTGATAGTTGAACAACCTAAAGGATTACTACTATTACACCCAGTCTCGACCCCAAATGAATTTCCTTAGTCGAGCCCTCTCCTTTTAAGAAAGAAAACATTTTACCCTTTTAATAATTTCTAAGAATTCTATTAATGTATGAACATAAGACAGAGAAATACACGTACTACAATGTCATTTTTGTACTTATTAAAAACAGTTTTTGTGTTATTTACTTTTTTACGTTGTGTTTGGTACTTAGAATGTTTAACTTAGTGAAATCAAAAAAACTTTGAGTGCTTGGACGAAAATAGATTAAAAATAGCTTCATTTTAAAGCCTATTAAATGTTGCCCGGGAAAGGAATGCATTAAACCTGTGAAAAAATACTCATAAACTTACCTTGGTTTAATTAAAATAATCTAAGAATAAATTAGACGTTTTCCTTGAAAGAGGTTTAAGTCCATTTTAAATTACCGCATATTCCGGGGTAACGCACACTTCACAGAAAAAAAATAAAATCGAAATTCACGGGTGCGTGTTATACGCTCGATATAAAAATGACAAATTTAAAAATAAAGAAAAACTTATCTTTAAAAAATTAGATTTCTACATGTACAGTGGTGGCCAAAATTGTGGACACTTTTGAAATTTGTTATATTTTTTAAGTTTGCAGGCTTATAAAAAATGTTACATTGCACAAAATGCAAAATATTTTAAATCATTTTAAAGATAATTTAATACAAATTCAAAACAAGATTCAAATATTTGCAACGCAAAAAGAGTTATGCTGCAATAACTATTGATATACATTAGATACTAATGGTATAGCAGTGTGTTATCAGTACTTAGTGGGATAGCCTTTTTATTAAATTCCTACAATTAGCTCACTTTATATATATATATATACGTCTCCATTGTGATAACAATGTAACTGTGTTAAAACAATGACGGAAGTTGGCATTGAAAAAATTGATATTTTTCAGCCGAACTAGCTAAACCGGATGTGCATTGTAACAACATTGCAGGCAACCCAAACCATGCTTTTGTTTCAATTCCTATTATATTAGTTCACTCTCTCCCTATATATATATATATATATATATCGTTCAAATTTTCAATTGTTATTAAGATACTTTCTATTCAAAGTAGGAATTGACTTAAAAAACTTTTTTATATTACTTGTTTTTTACTTCAGTTTCACATCGATGTTTCATTGAAATGAAAATGGTTTTAAGCTATTCCTTCGTTATGACATGATACAAGGAAACCATTTAATTTCAATTAGTTCCATTTTACTTTATGGGTACCTCATTCAGTCAAGAGTTTTCAAACGTTACCACAAGTTTTTGATAGGAATGAGGTCAGCGCTATTTGCTGGCCCCAGGACAACCATTCAGTAATATTAAAATGATACCAGTTCTGTGATTACTTTAGTGTAGGGCAAGGAGAAAAATGTAGCTGAAAAATAAATGAAGCATTGTGAGTAAATAGATCCCTGATGGTAGATAGAATTTTGGGTTCTGGAATGGTGTCCATGT